AAATGTAGATGTCTAGCAACCTGCTAAAACGCAGAAAATAACATCTTTTCCAACAATTCTCTGGCGCAGACCTTCAATTGCATACAGCCCCCCCCCCCACACACACACACACACAGTAGTGTCTCCCCCCCATATTACAAATGCTTTTGACGCCAGTGGCTGTTGTTCAAGAAAAAAGCCATTGTCAACACTGGGGGCTGAGCGTACCCCCAAAGGCCAGATTCTAGAATTGCCCCTGTCTCCAATCCATGATATGATATATATAATACTGTATACTTCACTCAATAAATTTGAGTGTGAATACATATAAATACATAAACATTGGTGAACTTCTTAAACTAGACCTGCTCCTCCATTCTTTCTTCTTCTTTCGGCTGCTGTCTTCTTCAGAGGTCGCCACAATGAACTAAGTCGCACGAAGACTTGGCAATTGTTTTTGTGCTGGATGTCCTTCCTGACACAACCACAGACCACCGAGCTACCACAGCCCTCTGTGTGGAGCAGAGAGCTGCTATCTAGAGCACCTGGAGGAGCAGATGGTGGGGTTAAGGACCTTGCTCAAGGTCCCAGAGTGAAGCAAATGAGGGCTGGGGGCAGGTGTGGGTGTTTCACCTTTCCCAACCACATTTTTGATGTTGTCAGTACCGGGAGTTGAACCGGCGATCTTCTGATCACAGGCCCACTTTCTCTAATATCTGCACCACCAGTCCCGCTCCTCCATGTCCGTGTCTATTGTAGACCTATGTTCAGTCATTGTGACTTTTTACACAGGTACTGTAAGTAAATGCATGTGGTAGTTGGCAGGTGACAACAAATTTTGCTTACAAACATTTGATTTAAAGACACATTAACTGTCAAATACTTTGTGCAAATTTATTTTATGAATTTTTATTGACTGTTTATCACGACGTGACGAGTACATTTAACAACAAAGTTAAACACTTTGGAATAACAAACATTTGTTTGCGTTCCAGAGGAAAAAGTTGCCTGAAATCACTGAAATATTAAGGTAGGCAGAATGATTGAGACTGTTTATTTAAATCATTTTATTATAAATATTGAGCAGTAAATCCTGAGATAATTCAAAGTGGCAGGCCATGTCTAAACCTATGATTCAGTACTGATTGTAGTAAATTTACAAATTTCCTGCTTAAAGGTACCAATGTAATGAAGGCTGAAACAAAATAAATGGATAAAGAGGAAAAACAAAGCCTGCCCAATTCTTTCCTCCTTGTAGTGCTTGTTAGTTTGTTCTTAAATTAAAAATTTGCTAATAAACTTTTTGCATGGCTGAAGAAAGAGCTGAAGAGACTGAAGTCAACAATGATGACATCCATATAAGAGCTGTTTGGATTGAAATGTCTTGACAATTTTGATGTTTTTGTGGGTATTTGCACTCAGATTTACTAACAGACAGACAAGCTTCCAACAAATTCAGCCGAGTGCTTTGTTTACATTAAACGTGGACCAGCATTTCAGAACTACTAATCAAAATATCTGGTCAACTACTGTTCAAACTGCACCGTTTGATACAGTTCAGGATTATGTTTTATGTTTGATTTCACAGTTTGAGTAACTTTAAGTTCTTGTTTAAATTTGAAACCTTTCTAAGAAAACAAATCCCTCCCAGTCCAAGTCCAAAATAATGAATTATTGTCATTATCCCAAGATGATTTATAGGCATTGAAGTGTTTTAAAGAGACGTGTAGATCGAAGTTTGCAGGATTGTAAGTGGATCCTAATTCTAGAAAAGAGCCTTCAAACATCATTTATCTGCTGTCGCTTTCCCACAAGTCCCTTCTGCTAAATAATCTCTGCACAGACACCACAAAACCAAGAGTGAATGATATGACAGTTCAGTTTTCACTCGAGCTCGCACAAATAAAACGTGACATTTTATTTGGATCATCAGTTCGTAAAACGTTGAAGAGAAATTTAACGTTCCAGCAGAGTTTTGGGGGCGGCAGGCTCTGGACAGATGGAGGCAACATATTGCTCACTAATGACGGTCGCAGAATACTGGCCTTCGTGTGGAGAAAAGGGACAAGTAGCCCGACTGAGAGGCTTTAAAAACAAAGAAAAATGTCCAATTCTCACTAAGAGCTCTGAACACTGCTGATCTCATTCAGAAGGTTTTCTACGCTTCAGTCAAGTCAGTGTGATTGGTGTTTGCTAAGAGAAACAAGTAAAGCATACGTCCTTTTGTAACAGAATTAAAGATAATGAAAGAGTGGCAGAGGGCTCAGCAAAAATGTAGAGAACTTACTGCAAACTAGCGCCAGAATCATGCGGAGCAGCTTGTACGGACAGCGCATCCCAGCCCAGTTCTGCAACAAAGAGCCAAAAACAAAAGAACAATCACAACAACAACCACAATTGAGCATGTTTACAGCCTCAGTTTCTGTCCTAATAACAGATTCACATGATGGAGAGGAACAAACTTGTACATATGAAAGAGATGGCAGCACAGGACAGAGCACCCATCTCTCCATTTACTGGGTCCGGTTCAATGTGGCTTTATTAATTAGGACTTTGGTCATTTGGGTTTATGAGAGAATAGGTAAATGAAAACACGTGGTTCTCTGAGATAAAAAAAGAACAACTTTTGGAAACATTTCTTCTACTAGTTTAACAGCTGCAGCAACACAAAGCTTTCTGAAGTTGTTTTCTGAGTGAACACAAACCAGGAACGGAGTTTTCGTGTTTTCATGGCAGTAAAAGTCAAGTGATTTCTTTTATTTTTGGCAAACGGTAAAGAGTCGTCACAACTGAGCAGATGGTCTGAGCTGAGACTGATATGAGGAGCTGGGTTACATGAGTCTCTGCTCTTACAGGACAAAGGGTTAGAGTTAGGGACGTTTAGGCCTGTCACGATAACAAATTTTGTTGGCGATTAATTGTCTCGGAAATTATTGCGATAAACGATATTTGAAATTTGACAATAATTTTATAATTATTGTCAAATTTAAGAAGAAATGTTGGTTAATTTGTTTTGAGTCTAGTACCTTTTTTGACCACTGGATGACAGTATAAGACTGAACTGAAGGATGGATAATGAGGGAGTAAGCAGCATGTCTCTAAGAAAAATGGGAGAGAGGCCCCTTGACGTGACATGGTGCTGACATTGTGACATGGTGACATGGTGACACTGCGGACGCTTGGTGTGGTTTGAGCTATTTAGCATAGCATTTTTCACACAAAGCTTTTAAGAGAGAGAAGACAGGCTTTAGGTGAGCCGATTTGCCCTGTTGGCACGCACGCAGCTGGATATCTCATCGACTTGGAAGACTTGATGTGTCTATCTCTGCTGCCATTTGTGGATTTTAAGGACACATATTTAATTGGATTTACGGTAACTGGTTCCTACTTTTTGGATTCGGCTGGTTGCTGGTTTTATCAACAATCAAGGAAGTCGTCTGCAGCAAATTTGGACCCGATCACGCTGCTTGTCTTTATGATGGCTTGGTTCGTGCCTCGAGTACCCAGACTCAAATGCTTTGGGCAGAATGGATCAGATCTCAGGGATTTTACTCAGTCACGTTCCATCGGTGTGGCCATGTAATTTGGACATTTCTGAACCGTTTGGACCAACACAGACTCGAGGTAGATGTCATTAAGTTCTGTCTGTCCCCAAAACAACTGTGTGTTTATCTGAATTTGGATCCCTTGGCTGGCCTTGAAGGTTCATCTTATCTGAATTCACCTGGAGAACATGTGATCTGATGCTCATCACCCCCTCCCTGAGGAAATTCCAACTGATAACCAGATGAAACCAGCTGAATAAACATTGTGTCATCATTTCAGGACTCTTGGATTTTCATAGACGTTATTCTTGGCCATTCCTCGACATACCTCGAGAATGTTTACGGATCTCACCGGAGGACACTGGCTGATTATTCCATCCTTATCAGAACTCTTACAGTGTCCTCGAGAGTATCTATGGACATACTCACCGCTCTCATCGTCTCCCCCCTCTGCAGAATGTCTATGTCACTATGTGCTTGTTTGTGCAAGGTGTTTTTTAATATTAGAGTTTTTCTTCTCAGGCAAGAAAAAAGACTTTGATAGGAATTTTTTCGCCTCCAATTCTTTCATGTTCCACTTTCACTACTTTTTGTCTGTTTAAACAGATCTCACTTGTAAATTAGTCTTCTAGACTCAATGTGACTTATCTGTCTAAATAAAGGTTGAATGAATGAATGAATGAATGCAAAAAAATCAGTAAACAAGTTCTCAGCTTCTTTTTGCAAAGAAAAATAACTTTTTACACAAAGTCACGGGTTTCAACCTTGAATTTTGGAGCTTCGACAAGACAGAGGGTTTTTTTCCCAAGGTCGGCCTGTTAGCTTAGCTCGTAGCTTAGCTTCTCAGCTTAGCTGCTTTTATCATCCAAAAACCCGATTTTGGATAACAAAACATAATTGAAGCCTGGACTATTGAGGCCACACTAATTAGATTCACTCCAAAAGTTAATCACTTATAAATGTACAATAACTATTTTCTGAAAGTTTAATTGCAACCCATTTAGCAGTTACAGCAATATTTTGCTAACAGACAAACTTGACTCCAAAGGTTAACGGCAAAATTTTAAACAAAGACCTTGTGCGATCTGTTAGCACTCAGAGGACATGTTAAGGATGACTCTAATTTACTACCACATCAATTTTTACCTAAATCTCTAAAACTGACTGTGTTATTGTTATTAATGTGCTTGCTAAGGCCAATTAGCTGTAGCGGCCATCTTGCAACAGATAAAGACACAAGAACACACACACACTGACAGTGAACTGTTGAGCTTGACTTCCGTTCGCCTCAGCAGAGCCTGAAACTTCACTGAACCTGAAAGTGATCTTTTGCGTGAAACAAATGACGACGCTCGATGGCAGAAGGCCCAGAATTTATTGGGTCGAGGCAGAGTTGAAGGTTTTACTAAAGCAAAAGAAAAGGAGGAGAAAAGAGGCATCCATCCGAGCCGAACTAAGAGGCGCCTTGAAGGATTCCCCAACAACAAAGATCACCGTGGAACAAACGAGCTGTTAGCTGCTCCCAGCACGCTTTGCTCTGGCTCTGTCAGACAACTTTGGCTTCCATTCCTGCTGGCGTCTCTGCTGCTCACAGTGAGCTGCAACATTAGTTAAAGCGATTCGTCAGATCTAGCGCCGCCTCGAGAGCTGGAGACTGAAGGAGGCATTTCACACAGGAGCACAGTGAAAGAAACAAACTAATAAACGTTGGAGGGAGGGGAAAAAAGCTTCAAGGGAATTCACTTCCTGTTTTTCCTTTTTGTGTATGCAAATAAACATTAAAAAAAACGATCAAATATCACTCTAAAATGCCTTCTTCCAGTATTTTTATTACCATAGCTATAGCAGGAAGAAATAAAGGATATCGTAATCTGCATATTTCTCATGACAAGACGCCATAACATGGACCTACATAAACCTGTTAATGAATAAAGGCCTCATGATTCTTGAAGTTTCGCCTGCTTCCATTCAATCCACGCAATATTGCAATCGCTTGTGTCATTTGTTAGCATTTTAAGTATGTGTTATGAATGACTCTCAGCTACCACTGTGCCAAATATAGTCCCACCATCTGTAAAACTCACGTATTTAATGCTATTTATGTGTTGGACAAATCAATTTGCTGTGGCAACAACCTTGAATTAAGTTAACTCCAAAAAGTAATTCATTGCAGGTATCCAGCCATACAATACTGTATTTACTTTCTGAGAGTTTTATTAAAATCTGTCTGGAGGTTCATGAAATATTTTGCTAACACACACAGCGTTAGCTTCAACAGTTAATGGCATCGTTTTAATCAACAATGATCCAAAATGCTCATAAGTTTGTTTTGGTGATGGAGCGCAGCTACTAGCTCACTGAATCTTACCTTAGTGTGTGTAAAATGAAATGAGTGAGAGCTGTTTTTGTGTTGGCTGTGGCAGCCATCTTGAACTGGACTGATTCTAAAAGTTAATCAGATGTAGACGTACAGCCAAACATTTCTTAAGCGTATCGTTCAAATCTGTTCAGATATGTTGCTTATAGACAAACAAATATTACTTCAATAGTTGATTGCATAGTCTTAAACTAAAATCTTGTGCAGTGCTTAGAGTATAAACTGGGGATTCATTTCAGCTACTATCACTCCGAATTTCAGCCGAATAGCTGTAAAATTCAGTGTTGTGGTCATTTATGTGCTTGCTAAAACCAAATCCAAAAGATAATCAATTTTACATTTACATCCAGAGGTTATCTTTTAAAAGTTTAATTAAAAGCTCCTCCTTTCATTTTTTTCATTCAACCTTTATTTATACAGGTTAGTCTCATTGAGCCTCGAGGACTCATTTACAAGAGAGACCTGTTTTAAACAAAGATGACAACAGCAGACAATCATATAAAAGCATCTAAAATGAAAAATAAATAGAAGAAAATAAAAACAGCTACATTATAAAGTGATATAAAATACTAAAAACAGTCTGCATTGGTTTTTGCCATGAACATAGCAGTTGTTTGAAGTCACTTAGAGAGGTCAAGGTCAAGAGCTTCAGATCTTTTTGTAAGATATTCCAGGAAACAGGAGCAGAGTAGGAGAAGGCCCTTTTAACTAGTTCAGTCCTGACTGAAGGAACACTGCAGGTAATAATGTCCTGAGAGCGCACGCTGTAGCTGCACTCACGTAGTGACATGTAGGAGATGTATGAAGGCAGCAGACCAAGAAGTAATTTAAAGATGAAAATGGACCCGTGTGAGAGTCTGCATGAAGCTAATGATGTCCAGTTAACCAGTGAATACAGGGTGCAGTGGTGGGTACAGTAGTTACAGCAAGTTATGAATCTTAGGGCACCGTGATAGACAGCATCCAACATCTGCAGGGTGACTGCAGGTGCATTCATGTAAATAATGTCACCGTAGTCAATGGAAGGAAGGAATGTTGCAGTTACAAGGCGTTTCCTAGAATTCAGAGTTAAACAGGATCTATTTAAAAAAAAACAATTTAACTTTCACTTTCTTTAACAAGTTTTCGACATGAGACTTAAAAGAGAGACGTGCATTGACCAAAATATCCAAGTGTTTGTAAGAATCGACAAACTCAGTCAATCACCATTCTTAGATCCTTATTACGGTTTCTTTTACTATTTATCTTTTTGCTATTGTTGGATGCAACTGGGACCCTGTGTACACAATTTTGTTCCACCTCATACACATGTGATGAGAATGACAATAAAGAACCTTGAACCTTGAATTCAAAGATAAAATAGAAGGAAGGACTGCTGGTACCAACTTCCTGTTTGGAAACAACATCTCTTTGGTTTTGTCTGTTTAGCACCAGATTGAGATGAAACAAGTCTGACTGGGTGATGTCAAAAGCAGACTGTAAAAGCTGGAAAACCTTAGCAACTGTTTTAGCTGGACAATAAACATCATCAGCATAGAAATGTAAGGATGCATCAGGAATGAACTGACCTACATTACTTATGTAGATTGTGAAGATGGTGGGTTCTAAGACTGAGCCTTGCGGTACACCGTTGTTAGCAGTTAGATAACTGGAAGAAGTACCATTATGCTGAACACATTGCCTCCGATCTGAGAGATAATTAGAGAACCAACCAATGGTGTGATGAGAAACCAATTTCTGAGAGATTATGACATAAAATGTTACAATCCACAGTGTCAAAAGTTTTAGACAGGTCTAAGTAAAGTGCAGCACAATAATCCTTAGCATCCACTGTTTCAATAATGTCGTTAAAAACCTTGAGTGAAGAAGTCGTTGTGCTGTGTTGTTTCCTGAAACCAGATTGATGGAGAGGTAAGATGTTAAATGAGTCCAAATACTTGATGATTTGAGAGTTTATCAGTTTTTCTGACCTTAGCAAGAATACAGAGTTTAGAGATTGTGCACTCACGCACACGCTAGCTCCCTTGTTTTTGCATTTGGTGGTGGGCAAAAATTAAAAGCTGTTGTTTGGAGGAATCTCACACTTTTCACTGATGAGACGTTTTCAGACCCAACAATGGAGGTGATGATGATGTTGGAAGTTACCATGACAACGTTGGCCAGATGCGCCGAACACAGGGCGTAGACACCCCCCGAACCCCCCACCACTGGAGCACGCATGTCTGTGATGGACACCGTCAGCGAGCCTGCAGGGACAGAGGGACAGACAGAGACATATTAGGACTGTCAACGTAAAACAAGGAATAACACGATGTGCGTATATAAGTGTGTGTTATAAAGTAGAGAGGGAAAGACAATGGCAGCATCAGATTGCTCATCACGCAGCAGCAAGAGTCACCTTCCCACAGCATTTTTCTAAAAAAAAAAAAAATCTTTCACAGGGTTCTGCTACATCAGCTGATCAACGTATGCAGTTATTTACAACATCCAGAAGCTGCTGCTCATTTCCTGCTCTGCACATCTCTGCACAGGCAGATAACTACATTAAAATGTAACAAACTGAAGAATATTTACAGATTGACTTTTCTTTCTTTCTGCAGGATGTGCTGAAGAGAGCATGGCCACATTCTAGCCTCACTAAAGAGATTAATTTCCAAGTAATGAGTTCTAAAAATGCCTTGGGTTTTATTTGTGAGTAAAACCCAATTTAGATAATATAGATGTGGATAACAGTCAAATGTGTTTTTTTTTTTTTAAAGCTTAGGAGTGACAAAAGAATGAACTGATTTATTTGCTACAGTTTCATAAAATACTAACTTTTAAAGTATAGTTTTACTTTTACAATCTAGAAACAAAATGTTAGGGTTTTGTTCTAATGCTGCGTATTTCTGCAGCTGTTTAGTTTAGTCTATCACGAAAACTTATGTTACAAATAAAACATCACTTTACATCTGGATTGTTTTTACATGAGCTAAACGTAAACTGCAAGACCTGACAATTCAGCTGTCCCAATATTGGATTAAAAAAAAAATTAATAGAATGAAAGATGCATTTACTTTGTGAAAAATAGACATGCGTTTGTGTATTACAAAGACACCCCCCCAAGAGGGGTGTGTATTGGGCAGCTATGTGAGCGCCCGGGTGTTACAGCTTTGTCTTGACTATTACAGTATGCAACACTTCAAATTACACAACAAATACACAGAATACAAAACACACAGCTTGCTGTCTTTTCCCACATGAACTGTTCCACATGACTCCAAACTCTGGTCCTCTACCTGAGGCCTGTGTGGGTTGAGAGTTCTGCACTGTATCTAAGCTGTTCCTAGGATTGAGCTCTTCTAGATGAAGATCACTGAGGTTGTTCCTGGGATCTGTGGGAGACATTTTTCCAGTTAGGGAGTCACATAGCACAGAGTGCTTCAATGACCACTGGGATCACTGACACTTTGACTCTCCACAACTTCTGTATTTCCTCTTTCAGCTCTTGGTATTTCTTGAACTTCTTGTGTTCCTGATGTTACAGTCACTTCACCACTGCTTTCTTCTCTTGCTTGTCGACCACCACAGTGTCCAGTTGATTAGCCATCACCTGTTTGTCAGTCTGGATCTGGAAGTCCTACAGTCTCCATGCAATCATCTCCCACTTTGACTGTGGGACCTCTAGTCCATACTCGGCACAGATGTTCCTGTATTCTAGGTTCCATGTATGTTTTGCCTGTCTGGATCTTACACCCTGCTATTATGTGTTGGACTGTCTCAGGGGCATCTTTGCACAGCCTTTATTTTGGTTCTTGTCTGGTTTAGGTAGACCCCGGCCTCTATTGCTCTTGTGCTGAGGGTCTGTTCTTGTGCTGTCATGATTAGTGCCTCTATGCTGTTCTTCAGTCCAGCCATCTCTAACTATTGGTAGGTTTTATTGATATCAGTCACTTCCTCAGTCTGCCAGAGGTATTTGCCATGCAGGAGATTATCTTTCCACGATGTCTCTTCTTGTTTCTCCTCCTCAACATTGGGTTTCTGCTGCTGCCTGAGGCATTTACCCATCACTTCATCATTGGGGGCTTTTATTCTAATGTACTCAGTTGTTACATCCTGTATAGTGGCTTGGGTGTTCGCTAGTTCTCTGCCTCCTTCCTTTTTCTGTCTTAAATTATGAGGAACTTTCTTGTCTTGATATCTGTGACTTCTTTATCCTCCTTTGGCCAAGCTATTATACCATACTGTATATAAATATTTATACTTGTCACCTGAAGAGGGCATGGCCAAGGATCAAAACACCAATATTACTCATAAGAGACAACAGATCAATCAGCTGATCCAGAATATAATGTTATGGATTTAGCATTTTTACAGTTTGCCTTATTTGAAATTAAGAGTGCTGTAGACCATTATTGTGTGAATGCTTATGAAGCATTCACTCCATTTATCTTCTGTATGTTTTTCGGCATCTTTCTCGTTCCACAACATTTGTGCTATTTCAACAAATCATATATCAAAATGTTCAGCTCGTTCAGAAGAAGGGTGTTTTGACTTTTGGTATTGTAGTGAACCTGATCTGGCCCTGATCTGACCCTGATGACCTCAAATCTATCAGATGGACAGAGACTGTTATTTTCATTGATCTGAATACAGTCTGAGCCATCTGATGACTTTCTTTCTTGAATTAATCAAGCAGAAAAGACAATCTCTATAATCATTACTGTTTACAAATGTTTGATAATCAAATTGTGTTAGTTCCATTCAATGCTTACAGGTTGGAAAGAACTACTCATTTTTATTTTACATAAACAGTAAGTAATGATTTTTATTCCTCATTCAAAGAAGAAATCAGGTTAATATGCATTTCTTGATTTTCTGTCTGAAATGAGCTAAGCTCGTAAGTATGTGAAAGGTTGGTTTTCGGTCAACTAAAATGTTTACCGAGAAAGATGTCATGTTTAAACTTTTTCAGAAGATTACCAAGAGTTGACTCCACGAAGTCTGCTTTTCTGCAATAATCTCTCTGTCAGTTGTTGAACAATCTCATTCTCTGACCTTGGCTTAGATAACATCTTACGTCACAAAAACACACCTCTTTCTGGTACATCCACGAATCAGAAAGCTCTAAATTGAACCGGAAGTCGACCCATTTAAAATGTGGCAACTTCCCAGTTCAGGTTAGAATTCAGAAGAATTCATGGGGAATTCATGGAGAATGGTGAAGTGAATGGAAGAGAATTCGAGAATTCAGGAGAGTCAGAGACGTTTTGGAATTATAACTTCTGTTTGAACAAACCACACACGACTATCTAAGGATTTCAGCTGCTCTCAACGGAGACGCTGAAAGGTCTGGAGGATTCTCTATCGAGCTGATCTATCATCAACCAGGTAACGGTCTCTTCTTCGACTAAAGTGTACCGGAGGCGAGCTGAGATCTGATGAAGCGTGCACGTTCTGGTCAAACAGATTAATTCCCTCACATAGTTCTCTGTAAGATAAATCTCCATTTCATCTTAAACTCTTCTCTCTCTCACAAAACCAGTACAGATATTTTAGAAGTATCTGAAGCAAAGTCCTCGTTCACCGCCGAGTGATCGATGCTCATTTTCTGTGAAACTTGTCTGTTATTATTTTCATATTTTGCCAAATTAATGTAAATGTTTGATGTTAAACTTTGATTCTGAAAATAAATGGCCGCATTGATTTGATGGGTCAAAGATAATAACGTCTCTCGTTACATTTTTGTTAAAATTCAATGCACGACTTACACAGTCAGAAAGATGAGGAACTCGTGAAAAAGTATGCATATATCTCATATATTTGTCATACTACAACTAGTGACACGTACCCACGTGACTCACTACAACTGGTGGCCCGTCACGGCTCATAAATGACTGTAAAAACGTGTAAGATTGATTTACGTGTTGGCATGTATGTTAAAAAGTAACAGTTTATCAGCTGTGATTGAAACGCAGCCGGAGCTGCGCGCTTGGAGCTGCACCGCCTGAAGCGAAACGCTGCATGTTCTAAGCGTTGGGCTAGTAATGTTTTAAAAGCTGAAATTGTGTCATTGAGTCTTTATGAAAGCTGAATTTGTACGCTGTTAAGTGTTGTTAAGCTTATGAGCTGTGCAAACGTTGATTCTGTTTAAAAGACGAGGTTCTGCTGAAAAGACCAGGACTGTGGTCCAGTTCAGTTCTGTTGAGTTTGAACGAGTATTTTGAATAGATGGATAAACGTTTTAAAAGCTGAGCGCCGCCTCAGAACACAGTTAGGAGTTGATTCGTTACAATTTTTAACAGAGAAAGTGCATTTTGACAGTTTAAAGGACGAAAAAGTTGACGAACTATTTCACGCTAATCTAACTTGCTAGTTGGAGAAAACGCTTCTTGATTGGTTAACTTCGCTGTTGTGGAGCGCTCTGATTTGCTGAGAAGTTTGACTGACGTGCTACGTCATCTCCCCTCACCCCTGCGCTGCTCTGTCATTGGCTGATTGACGTGTCAATCACGTCACCCGGAAATGAAATTCGTTTTCATAGGGAAATAAAATCTGCTTTTTAAAGCTGAAAAGTAACTTTAAAGTGGTTTTGACACGCTGGTCAAGTGCTTCGAAGCATACTCGCTGAAATTTTGTCACGTTAGAGTTTAAAATTCGTCATAAAATGATGTTTTTAAACAACGCTAGCGATGCTAATTTTAAGCTAACAGCTAACGACCGGAGCCCTCACTATGCTTAAAATCACTAAATAAACCTGCAATATTGTCCCAAAAACTCATGTTTCAAGCTATAAAGTCTGATTGAAAAAATTTCTGCCACGTTTGTGTAAAAAATCCGTTCAGAAATGTTGATTTTAACCGAGTTTAGCCGAAGCTAACTTCAAGCTAAGCGGCTAACAACAGGATGTCAACCGAACGCCACAGGAAGTCATAGCGACCCCTACTGGATAACACAAACAGTGTCTGAGTTGAGATTAGTAAGGTAAGGCTGACATCTTCTGGACAACCTTGAGAAGACAGGTTTCACTCGCTTTTTAGGTCTAAACAGTGAAATTAAACGTTTTAATCTTTCTAAAAGGCATTTTCGAGTTAATAAACGTTCCTTAAAGCTGAAAATTACTGTTATCTTGCATTTTAAAAGTTATAAGGTATTTATGCAAAGAGCATTTTTCAAAAAAGTTTTATTTCACTGGTAATCCCTTAAAACTAAGGTACAAAAATAAACATTAACTTTTAAAAAATAGAAACAGTTACAGATTTTCACA